AAAGAGGGAAAACATAAAATATGGACGATGCACAATTTGAATTAAAAATTAATTACTCATCCTTGTTCCTTGAATATTTCTTTATTTTTATTAAAAATTATTTCTTTTATTTCTCATTCGTGCACTTCTACTTATTCACTATTTTAAAAATAAATTCATTTTACCATATAAAAAAGGGATAATTTTTTTTTCTTATTTTACCCCAACGTTAATTACTTATTTCCAAATCATTTCTTATATAAATATGGTAGTAAAACATCCATATTAATTATTATTTCTTAAGAATAGTGTAAAATTTAAAGTGAACAATTAAAAATGATCGGAGGAAATATTCATTTATCACCATTGGTTGGTACGTACTTGGTAGACATAATTAGATTGCAATCGTTTTAATGCTCTATGTCGTATCATTTAAAATTATGTACCCTCATTTTGTCAGATTGTACTACATTAAAATAATTCATGTATCATCAGCCAATTTCATACGTTTATACAATTCTGAAGAATTATTACTCGTACGATTGAAGAAATACAATTCATTCTATTATAAACCAGATAAATCATTTATTAGCGACTCCGTATTCGAGGTGTTGGAACCCGAGACCTCTTGGTTAAAGATGAAGGAATATTTATCACTTTACCACAATCCTTGTTGGTTTAAATACACAATTCATTCTATTATGAAAAAAAATAATTAGGATGACTTTTTGATCACGAATCTTGATTTGAATTATTTTATTATTTATGTGGAATAAATAAAAACTCTACTATTTTTTTTTTATAACATAAACAAGATCTCTATAAATAGATACTAACAGTCGAGGGCGAAATTATAGTATAGTATGCGGGTTTAACTGAATACAATATTTTGGTTCAAAACTTGTATTAGGCTTTAAGCAATTTATTGAATATTTGAATATATATAAATTATTAGTTTAAATCTAATAACATAAAAAAATTAGAATTTAACCCACATATTTTAAATTTTGACTCCATCTCGATGAACCGTTTTTCCTAGTTATCAAAGTATATATAAGCTCGACGCATTATGTTTTCTCAAGTATGTCGGTATAGGATTAAAAATCTGTGAAAAACTAATGTTTATGGATTTGGTCTCTTGATTTTAATTAACACTAATAAATGAAGATTGTTGTTGTATTTTTTGTGTTAATATCTCTTTATTTTCCCCCAACTTAGGTGAAAAACTGCAATACATAATAGACTAACTACACCATGCCCCTTGACCAAAAGTGTATCAATTTTTTTTAAATATTTTTCTTTTGTTGTTTATCAATAATAGAAGAAAAAGAAAGGAATATAACATTCTTATAATAAGCTAGGTACTAAAAGCCACACAAGATAACACACACACACACACACATATATATATATAATTGCCAAGTTGAGTTTTATTCCCTCCTACATTATTATGACAAGGAAATATTAGCAGTTGGATTACTTATTTGTCCTAGTGAACTTTTATTCTTTTCTAAATGCATTTAATTATTTATTACTCCCTCCGTTTACTTTTTCTGGTTAACTACACCAAAAATAAATGTCATTTTACTTGTTCTAGAAAAATTATAAGATAATTTATCACTTACTTCTTAATTTATTTTTATTATTAATTATAATTATTTCTCAAAACACTGAATTTATTATATTCAAAAGGAATTGGAAAAATGCATAAGTACCCCCTTAACTTATGTCCGAAATCCTAGAGACACACTTATACTATACTAAGGTCCTATTACCCTCCCTGAACTTATTTTCCCAAAGGAATTGTGCATTTTCCCAAAGGAATTGTAATTCTATTTAGAGTAAATTTTAGGTTTAACAAACATAAAAATCATATTTGTATGTTATAGTTTGTATAATTGCGCTCCATAACAAACTTTATGTTTGCTATGGCTATTAATATGTATATTTCGGTATACTATACAAAAGAATCAATTGTATAATTTGTTTCGGTATACTATACAAAAGAATCAATTGTATAATTTGTTTCGGTATACATATACAAAAGAATCAATTGTATAATTTGTTTCGGTATACATATACAAAAGAATCAATTGTATAATTCGTGTTTGTATAAAGCGAGAAAGAGAGAAAGACAAAAGAAAACTAGGCAGGAGAAAATCTGTATTTGTTTAATTATAAGTGTATAGGACAAAAAAATATGTATTTGTATTTGTATATACGATTTTCTCTCGCTTTATACAAACACAAACGTAATTTATACATTTGTATTTGTATAAAGTGAGAAAGGCGAGTGAGAGTGGCAAGCGAGATCTGAGAGAGTGGCGAGAGAGATTCTCTGGGGAGAGAGGCGAACGAAAAGATATGTATATATACAATTTTCTCTCGCTTTATACAAACACATTTTATACACTTGTGTTTGTATAAAGTGAGAGAGGCGAGGGAGAGACTGTCCAGCGAGAAACCGAGAGTGGCGAGCGAGAAATTCAAGAAGAGAGGTGAATGACAACTGTTTGCTACGGGTTACAATTAAATCAAATTGTGGTTATAGCATTTAATTTGAATTAATAGTTTGCTATTTTATACAATTTTCCTTCTATTTATTGCTCCTTAAGGGCCAAGGGGTGTGTCAAGTCAATATAAACTGAACAAATAAAAATAAATGGAGGGAGTATCTTCGAGAATCTATTTGACCTTATAAGCTAGATATTACTTTCTCCATCCATATTTACTTGTCTATGTTTGACTTGACACACTATTTAATTAAGAAGTAAAATATAAAATGATAATTTTATTATATCTTCCCAAATTATTACAAGTCATTTCATTCATTGGGATGAATATTACTTAATAATAAGAGTAAAATAGATATTTATATGATACTCCCTTTGTCCCTAATTACTTGTCAATTTTGACAAATAAAAAAAGGATAGAATAATTTTACCTATTATACCCTCAATTAATTTCTTTGAAAAAGGTAGAATTTCTTGAAAATCTTAAATTTTTAATCCATCAACTTCATAATTAATAAGGGTAAAATGGTAACTCACTATATCAATAATTACTTTCTTAATAGGTGTGTCAATTCAAAAGTGGACTAGTAATTAGAATTTTTAATCCATCCACTTCATAATTAATAAGGGTAAAATGGTAACTCACTATATCAATAATTACTTTCTTAATAGGTGTGCCAATTCAAAAGTGGACTAATAATTAGGAACATATGGAGTACTAAATTATCTATTGTCTTTGATTTTAAATTGAACAAATAAAAATAAATATTTTTTATTTTTAGTATAATGAGCAAGTAAAAGTGAATTTATGTGAGAGTAATAATTTGTTTCACCTAACCACTTGACGAATTATTGGAAATGCATATGATATAAATATTGGTAGGTGAAATAAATTAGAATGTGCCTGCTAGCTTGTGGGGAATTGGGATTAGCTGTGAAAGCATTAAATAGCAACTATCGTATTCCCTCCGTCCCTTTTTAGTTGTCCACTTTAGAAATGACACACAGATTAAGGCAACAATGATTAGCACAGTGAAGTTACAATTTTACCCTTATGACAACTTTTCACTTCACAATTACAACCACTTATTTGAATTCAAGTGAAATAAATTGGAGGGAAACAACATACACTTTTACAATTTTCAAGAAGTGTAAATAAGGGTATAATAGGAAAAAATTTGTTGTCCTTTCTTGATTTGTCAAAATGGACAACTAAATAGGGACAACTAAAAAAGGAAATATGAACAAGTAAATAGGGACGGATGGAGTAGTAAACAAGTTGACCCATTACACATGCCTAATTATTATACCTGTACCACCTTGATGTTCAAGTGACAAGTGAAAAGATCTCATATGCTATAGTGATAATAGTCTATCAAACTTTAACCAAGATACTTAACTATGTTGTTTTTTAAAAATTGGAATACTATGTATTAGCTATGACGCGCATGATGCATTTAGGTGAATATCACATCTGAATAAGATGGTAAAAATGAAATACTTTTTAAGGCATAATACAAGTTCACTGTATACTTACGTTTTTAGTAGTGTTGATAGCATAATCCAATTCAAAATAAATCTGTGAAGCTTATTGGGCAGAATTAAACAATATGTGTCATGAACTTAGATTGTGACAAATATGGTATCAAACTTGACACTCTCTTAGTATGGTGGTGAGGCAAACCTCAACGGGGACGCTGAGTCCTTAGGAAATGGTGTGTGTGGTGCCCATGACTGAGGGAGGGCTGACGAGGATAGACACAAAGAAGGACAAACAGGTTTCTAGGCTAACTAACTTCTGAAGAAAGGAGTGCAAATGATACCATACGCAAATTCTGTATCGAAATGAGAGAGGACTTTATAAAACATCACAAATTCACATGTACATACACTTTTGGCCAAAAATGGCATAAAACAAGGGACAAATTAGTGAGGCATGTCGAGCCAAAATGGACAAGACGTGCTATATGAGCTTGGATTGTGACAATTATGATATCAAAGCTAGATACTACCTCAAAATGATTGTGAACAAATCTCAACGAGGATGCTGAGTCCCTTGGGGGTATATGTGACATCCATGACGAAGGGCAGGTCGACGAGGATGAGTCACAAAGAAGGACTGTCAAGCTTCTGATGAAGAAGCACATGATACCTTAGCTGAATCCACTTTGGAATGGAGATCTCACATGGCGTGCGTGTTTTTGGGCTCATTGATGACATAGCTCGAGAGACAAATCAGTGATGCCTATTGAGCCAAAACGGACATTACATGTCATGAGCTTGGATCATGGCATTAGCCCATTCCACTTTATGTACTATATATACTTATTCGTCCTTAACTAAAAGAATGATATTATCTATATTTGAAATTGATTTAACTTTTAACTTTCTATTTTACTCTTAATGACGTACTTTTATAGCCATAGAAATCTCATGGCATGTTTTACACCACAAGTTAAAAAAAAATTCTCTGAATCCCGTCAAACTATGCTACATAAATTGAAACAGAGAGAATATGTAAGGAACTCCAGGGGAATTGAGAGTTTTTTACATTAAATCCTGCATTTGGTATATCCATTTGTACAAGACATATACAGTTGGTGAGTAATATATTAGCATCTCTAACTAGTAAGTATCCCTAAATTTCAGTAACATGTATACTCTACTTCAATAAGAAACTATTCGAGGAAAGATCAGGATCCATTTGTTTGAGCTTGAGCACTATCTTGTTGAGCAAAAATTCTTTTGATGGCTTCTTCCTTCTCATCAATGAAGTCAAAGAAACTGTAGATCACATGTGAACATCTGGTGTTCGAGGGAGAAGAAAGGTCCGTATGATTCCTTTTGTATCGTATATATTGACGAATACTCTTGAGTAAAAAGATTAACAGAGCAAGGACAGTGACAGCACCAGATAAAAGATAGAGTGCCCAAAAGCTGCTCAAGTGGAGCTGGTCAGGCCCCGAGTCTTTTCTCCTATCTGTTGGACAACCTAATTGACAAAACCACTTTTCGTGTATCTCTTGAAGTTTCCCACTCTCCGCCAGTTTCAGGATTGCTGTTGACATATCGTTAGCCAGAGGAGAATCCTTTTTGAAAGCCTACATTTCGTACGAGGCAAAGAAACATTCAGTTAAAAGTATAAATTGAACATAACCATGCAATGAGAAGTGATTCACATTTAGGCCAAGTTATTTTGAAGCTAAGTCTCTAAATTGAAGGACTTTCTCGAACATTCTACTACTAGTGGAATTAGTCATGACCAAGTCCAAAGTTATCAATACGAGGTGACTTCACTCATTTGCACCAGTTCAAGTTATGCGATATTATTGGAGGTGTGTTAATCAGCAGAAAGTTTTAAACTGAATAAAGGTGCATATGTATAGACCACTTACAAAACCCCATCCGCTCTTAGTAAATGGTCGACCAATGATCCCAAAATCAGTACGGTTTTGAAGGAACAACTCCATGTATGGAAGTTCATCAACAATTGCCATCACTCCTCCATTTCCTGAGCCTTGCCGCAGAGCAGCTTCAAATTCTTCTGGAGATCGTAGAGATTTTAATCTTGATGGAGCTATGTTGAGAATGTCTTTCAAATAGCTATAGGCAAATGACCCAACTTGATATCCAATAAATGAGTTGCTTGCAATCAAACTATCAATTCCTGTGATCGGTGATGCAAGTTGCTGCACTGTAAGGATGGATGTCAAACTTGCTGTATAGCTTGATGTGATCACCAGGAGTAAGAATAGCCAAACCACCATTACCATTCGACCAAGAGTGCTTACGGTATTCTCTTCTGGAAATTTACAAGATAAAGTTACTAGCCTGCTAGAAGGATGGCTAATCACAGACAAAGCATAATTTGAGCTTGATTCTTTTCATATACTAAGATCAAGCCATAAAAACTAGAAATGAAAAACCAAATAAATGCTTACGGTTTGTTTTGAATAGTGTCGAGAAGCTGAACCTGCATAATGTTTGGAAAGAGTTAATAAGAGATGGTTGGAAAGGGTGTGTGCAGTCTTATTAGTATACCTGTTACAAGTGAATATAGAAGGATAAAATACATACAAGTAGTAATACTGAACATAGGGACTCACAGGAACATTGTTGTTATCTGTCTCTTTGGAGGACCACGAAAGTCCTCATTGACGCGATGCTCAAGTATCCAAATGACCACTGCTATTATAAGAAATGAAAGAGCTGTAACACCCCACATTTCCAGTGTAAAAGGTTTAAGGAAAACCCAAGCACTTGATTTTGAAGTATCAATGGGGGCTACTATGACAAGGCCTGTAGACACATAAGGCTGAGTGAAATCAACCATCCTTGTCCTATTTGTGACAATAGCAATGTCTCCAACGGCTGCATCAAAAACCTACAAACAATCTCAAATGAATGAGCTGCATTTCCATGGCTTAAAAAAGAGATAGGCGGTGGTGTGGAAACTTATTCTTGTAATTTACATCAGCTAGGCTATATAAGTGAATGGCAGTGCCAAGTATATTTTATATGGAAGGAAATAATAGTAAGAAACAAGAGGCAAGTTTAAGATGGCATTTGGTACTCGTTAAGAGAGAGTAACAAAATATACTCACATCAGTTGCAACCATATTCACGAATGCATCATAATCTGGATTGGCAAGACCAGTACCAAATGGCACAAATCTGAAAGGAATATCATAAGGTACAAGCTTTCGTGCTTCGTAAAACAGATCTATGCAATAACCTTGTACATTGTGGCTGGCGTTCAGCGTCACAAACTCAGTAAAACTAGCTCTTCTTGGAAATCCAATTCTCAAGGGTCTTTCATCATTAGCAATAACCCAACCACGTGGTGTTTTGCTTTTCCCACCAGGCCAAGTTACACTCTTGAGATTCTGATTTAACCTGGTAGCAGCTGTTTCTTTGTTTTGTAGTGATTTTGGAGGTAAAACCGAGAGACCAGAAAAATTTGACCAGTAGCCAACTGTGTGAATCTCCTGTTTGGCAATGTTAATGACTTCATAACCACTACCAATAAGATTTCTATCTTGACTGAAATGAATCTTTCCTGTCAAGCCAGTGAAGTTTGTTAGTGATAAGATATTCATTAGAAGTCCTCCACCATCAAATTCTTTAAGTTTCCCAAGCTGTAATTTATCACTTGTTGTACCATTTAACATATTGCTGAGAGAAAAGCTTATGTTCCCTCCCTGTTGAAGTAGGTTATCAATCGAACGTGCTACTACCCACACAGTATCATAAGCATAAAGACCATATGCAGTCAATCCTGAGTGAACCAGCTCATTCTGCTGCAACTTTCTCCAGCGAGCCAAAAAATCTCTTTTCCGGGCAGTTTGTGGAATATAGGGACGAAGACTGATTACACCTTCAAGAGTGCTTAGAAAAGATCTGTTTTTCGGGGAGAAAGAATCTAAAGTAGTAGAAAACCAATCAGTCATAAGCCACACATAATTGCTCCCATTCATTTTCAGCTTATGGACCGCGCTGAAGAATCTTAACTGGGAGTCAGGATTGATATGCACAACAAAAACACGAGGTCCTAATGATTTCGATTGATTTAGCACATACATAATGTCAGTGATGTCATAATTGATAGGTAATGGAAGCTTATATGAGATCTTTGACATTTTATTAGCAAGTGCATCATTTAAAGCAGCTATGCCATTTCTCCCATAGTCGTCATCCAGAAATATAGCAATGACTTCTTTCCATTCATAAAAGTAGACAATGTCAGCAACAGCTTCCATTTGGGATTGATCACTCTGTGTTGTTCGAAGGAAAAATGGGAACTGGAGGGAAGACAGTGTTGGATCAGTGGCAGCATACGAGATAAGAGGAACATGAAGACCATTTGAAATGAAAGAAATCATATGAGCTATTGCAGAAGACTGTGGACCAATTACTGCCACCACTTGCTTCTCAATAACCTGTAAAGCTGGCAAAAAGAACTCGAATCGTTAACTATGCTGGAGGGATTCTTGAACATGACTATCAACTTAAGGGCGTAATCTCTGTGTCTCCAGATGATATATCTATACCTAGAAAGCATTCCTTTTCTTTTTTGTTGTTGCTGACTGGAAACAAAATTACAGATGCTTATGATGCCTACACACTCGTTGATCTTGTCCTTTAATATAAGCTTTCTTATGCTTATATAGTAAATATTCTGAGTATATTTTTATTGAAGAAATGTAATACTTTTGCATTACATCTACCAGAAAAGAAGATACATTATGTTTGCACTAAATTAGCTTAGCAAGTTTCTTTGCACCCAAGAGACAGAACATCACCACTGGACCCAAGAAATGATTCATAATACTCCTACAATAAGTGCTCCCTCTTGTTCTCTTAAAGATTAAAAAGGGCAAGAAAATCCAAAGACAAGGAAAAATGAATTCCCAGAAACTAAAAGTTAGTTAACATAATTGCTTCTTTTGCTACTTTGGAAATCTTAATAATGAGTGGTCTCTGGGTATGGAAACTGGAAAGTGCATAAAGTTGGTTTTCACCTCCTTCAGAAACAAATTAGAGAATCTCCTTTTCATAAATTAGAGTAATAAACAACTCAAAATAACCAAAAACAACAACAATGACGATTGAGAATTAGTGGTTTTAAATAGTAGTGATCCATTATGAAAATAGCTAATGAAGTATCACTAGTGGAATGTCTCAAAGATGTCCACCATAGGCAAGTCAAGAGATTTTGGTGACCTAAGTATTACTACAAGCTTCTAGTGGAATTAGTCGAGGTGAGCTCAAGCAGGTATAAACACTACCCTCAATAAGAAAAATACTACTCCTACAACCTTAGCTTGTGTAGCGAAAAACTCCAATTCATCGCCCACCAATTCGAGCTTAATAAGTACAACAACATCCAAGGTAATCCCACAAGTGAGGTCAGAGTGTACACACCTTACCCCTACCTTAAAAAGATAGAAAGTTCTTTCAGATACACCCTCATCTCGAATTTATTCAGTAAGAAAGTAAATTCTGAAATGATTACAACAAGAATTTTCCACTCACATCATGACAACTATAAAATAACCAAAGTAGGAAGAGTTGAGACATTTACCTACAATGGACCCCTTAAAGACACTGCAATTAGAATCCTCCATAATCAAATTAAGACTAGTCCCATTCAGGATGCTAGGATCCCCATTGATATCAGAAACTGCTAACTCCATAGCTTTCTTGGCTGCCCTACCTATGACTGAATCAAAAGCAAAAACAGCACCAACATTAACAACATCAGGTCTTTCACAGTTCCCATGTTTATTCTGCAACACCCAAATGAAAACAAACAGTGGCAACACTCCCCCAAGAATCCTCATCTTCATTCCACCACTTCAAGAAACTCAGAAAATGAATAAAGTTTGTAACTTTACTCAAGAAACCATATGGGGTTAACTAATTTCAAGTCAATCAAGTCAAGAAAACCAGACCCTTTAAAGGGCAGAAGAGATGATGGTGAAAAAAAGAACAGAGTTTGTCAAAGAGGAAATTACAGATACAAAATTAAGTTCCATGTGGGAAATTGGAGGAGCCCATTTCTCTGAAGAGTCTGAAATTGAGAAAAACATGATGATATATGGAGTAATTGAACTTTCAAACTAGTGAAGCAGCCTTTGAGTAATTTGGAAAGAGATAGGTGCTCCAATAGGATAGCTTTGTTATAAAAGAGTCTGCAAGCTACAAATTGAGAGAACACTGGGTCCCACAAGGGGTTGATGAGATTGGTAATCTGTCATTTTAATTTATTTATCTTACTTTTCTAATAGTTTAAAAAATGACAATATTTATCCTTTGTATGTTCTAGCTTTCTTTAGTTTAATGCTACACAATTCAATTTACTTACTTTTTACTTTTTAAAATTCCATATCGAATAAAAGATTTAGACCTTGTGTGTAAAAATAAGGATTATGTTCCCACAAGGGAAAAGGTTAGGAGAAGAAAGAGGATTTAGAGAGAATCTAATGCTCTATTGGAAGAAAAAAAAGATATGTATGAACTGACAAACATGTACGATAATGATCCAGTTGCAATTTTATTAGATTTTTTACTCTTTTGACATTTTCATTTCAAATGTACCCATTTGCTAATAAAGAGGATGCTGTCTCAAGGAGTTAATGATAGATCTATTGTCTCACCGACTCGTGTGATAAAAGTAAATTAAAAATATATATTTATAGATTTAATGATAGATCTATTTATCTTAATGACTCATTTAATAAAAGTAAATTCAATATATATATGTTATACCTATTTGTCAGAAGTTTTTACTTTTCTGTTTGCTTGATGAATTGAACATACAATCTTAAAATGAAAAGGGCCCATACCATGCTTACCACCTATTGTCTATTTTTCATTACGAATTAACATTTTTATTTTCACTATAAATAATATCTGAAAATGTATGTAAAAATTCATTTGATATTGTGTGTGAGATAAAATGTGAAATGGAAAAGAAATACTACAAAAAGAAGCATCTAAAATAGCAGAAAAAGAAAAGAATAAACAACTTGTATTTAGATCATCTTACATATAAATAAGCCTGTGTACTGATTTTTAATTAAAAAAAAATATTCATCATATTTAAACTTAATTAATTTTATGCTTCTTGGATGTATATGAGTAATAATTATTAAGTGGCTTTCGATGCCACTATCATTTTAATTACGTAAAAAAATAATTTAAAAATGGCTTTGTACTTCAAAACTATTTATATTATACTCTGACTCAACTTGCTCTTCCGAGCCCTATCTCATTTAAGCCACTAACTTATTTAATTTAACCCCTCATTCACGTGTTAATTATATTTGTTATAAAAATTACTTCTTTCGATCTCATCCTTTTAACATTGTCTTCAACTTATTTCATAATTTTTTGAAATATTCTAATGTATCAATTTATTTTTAAATTTAATCCATTTTTATTATGTAACTGTTCTCACATGGATGGTTTTATATCACATATGCTTATATATAAAGTAATATAATCTTTAATTTAATTAAAGTTGATTATTGAGCATCTATATATTTTCAACTTTCGTTCCACCAAGAAAAAGAAAAAGTTTAAATTAATTAAAAAGAAAAAGCTTCTTTAAGTTTTGCTCGTTCTCAAGGAATCTAGACAACTATATTATATACGCACAACACGTCAAAGTCCAAACACTTCAAAAGACTCTTTAAGTTTATACATTTATTTTATTTATTATATGTTCCCATGCAACAGGAACTTGGCCTCTTTTTTTTTTAATGGATACCTTCAAAAAGAAATCTTGTAACAGAAGAACTATAGAAAGGGTTACGTTCGTTTAGACATGATTTGAAATCAGGTTAAATTGATGTTGGAATTTTATTTAGATATGTAATTTAGATTTCTAAAGTCATATTTCTTTTTTATAAACATAAAATCTCATAATTTGTGAAAACTATTAGAACTTCTCCAATTCTTATACAATCTTAATAAATGAGCAAACTATACTTTAAAAACAAGATACCAAAATATTCTCACACACCAAATTGATAAATCACATATCTCCCGCCATGTTTCTTTTATAAATAATATTTGCAATTATAAATTTACAATGATTCGGTGGTTCAATAAATCAACAATAATGGTAATTAGCTATTCTTTGATAAAATCCTTTCACATGGTACAAACAATCTCTTCACGTTGAACATGAGTCTTTTCTAGCAAAATTTTAAATTATGGGTCTTTTTTTTGTACAATATAAACTTATGAGTCTAAGTTTTATATTTGAAAAAATTGAAATCACAATTTAAAATTCAACTCCCTATTTTTTGGAGAATTTGGAATTTAAAATCGTGATTTGCATTGGAGTTGAAATTTCACAACTTTGAAACCAGGCTCCAAAATTCTTTGGCCTAAAAGCTTACAGATACTTCTGAATGCAGGTACTTGATGAGGCAGATGAGAGCAACATTGACGCACGTGTTTTTTATTTAATTATAAATTTCCAGGATTGCAATCCTGACAATGTATATATAGCAGGTAGGAGCACAACAAAAGGGAACTTCTCCTTAACCCTAAATATACATCAACCATTGCGAAGCAATCCTTACAAAAGGGGAATGTTTAAGCATACTACTGCTTTATATTCCCGCATATTTAGAAACTATACAAATTAACTTACAAAAAAAATTGACTTTGTCGTATCTTATTCTTATGCTAGGTAATTGCATCTTGTAGGAGCACAACGTTTTCAAGAGCAGAACAGGGTGGCGGATGCAATGGCGAAGGCGGGAGATAGGCAGGGAAGCATGAGGAACCCCACTCTTTTTGAAGTTCCTCCTGTGGGTGCCACACCAATGCTGCCAGCAGACATGTCAGGAACTTTTTTTGTTAGAACAATTCCAAGCCATAATGGTGAATAAAATGCCCCTCATGCTTGTAACGAACCAGTTTACTGATTAATAAATATTCGTTTTAAAACCCCAAAAAAGATGTATGAACAGTATTTATTGCCACGTTTTTAAACTATAATAAGCACGAAAATTGGATACTGCTCCTTTCAGTTCTTACTGCTTTCCAACTTTGTCAATGTATAGTCTCTGTCTTAATTTGAGATAGTTGGGAACTCGCAAATTTCAAAATACTGAATCCGTCTCTGATTCCATTGTTCATATGCATTACGGGCTTGTAAGCTTGTAAGTTCAACATCGTTCATTACATTCTTTGGTGTCGTTGCCAACCAACTTCCTCAGAGTTTTAAGGCGATTCTATCATATATTTCATTTCACATTTTACAATTATTTGCTTACTGCTTATAATTTCTTCCAAGTTAGTTCATTATAATCTTATTATTTGGTCAATTCAGCCCACGTACGCCTTAAACCATGTGTTACAAATTCAACTGTAATGATCCTAATTGCATAGTCTGTAACTGTTGAAGTGTGTGTCCATCTCACGTGCAAGCCTGATTCTTTTTCATGGGTTAAGCATGTGAAAATTCTTTTTATTTGAGTAGCAGTGAGATTCAATTACAGGACTATTGCTTGCTCTGATACCATGTTGAAGTGTGTGACTATTTCATCTAAAAGCTTAAGCTGTTAGAGAGAACGCACTTTTAATAGTTAATTATATTCTCAACAGAAACACATTCGCGACGATCTTGATAATAGATGTTCAAATTTCAAAGCTTTTCATATTATTTCATTTCTTAAACCAGCAAGTCTTACCAACATATCTAGAAGACACATTAATTTGTTTATAAATAAAAAAGTTCTCCTACTCCTTCAGCTCTGGCTCTTTCTTGTCTCCCCATGTATTTAACCTGCCTTGAGCTGCTTCAACCTACAAAGTCATAATAAAAAATGAAGTAATTACATTTAGCTCTGTGAAAATAGTTCTTATGCCCATGTTTCCATAAAAATAAAAAAAGGGTAAAAGAGGTTTAATATATTTACCTCTTTATTCCAATCAGTTCGAATTGTGATCCATATTAAAATTACTGTTTGCATAACTGTACCGCCCATCATTCCTAACCATATACCCTGTATATATGCACCCAAACGAAAAAAGTTTGTACTCTCAGCATCGAGATGTGTTTTAATACAAAGAGAGTGATAGTCTACATTACGGAAACAATGGATAGTTAAGAGATGGAACTCGTGATAAAGTATAGTTTAGGTATGTTTTTTATTATTAAATCTACTTTGTAATAAATAGTGAAATTATACCTTAGCACCAAATTTGAAGTAGAACCCAAGAAGAGCACCCAATGGGACTCCCACAATGTAATAGCAGCCTACATTGACATAAGCCACAAAGGTTTGCCATCCACAGCCAACAGCCACACCTATATAAGATTCAAATTTATATAAATCCTAATCCAATGCATGGCACCAGAACTTGACGCGTTTTATTCAGATCCCCCCTAAGTGAATAAAACGCACCAAGTTTAAGAGGAACTTTAGATGTTCTGCTAAATAAATAATCTCAATCATGTTATAAAACAAGTTATAATAATTTGATTGAATATTCAGAAACTAGAGAGTAATTAAGATGCTTAATCTATAATTACCAGATAAGACAGGCTGAATTCCATTAAGTGCAAGGGTAAGCGCGAGCAACGGACAGAGATCAGAGACAGCTTCAGCCACAACTTCTCCTCCAGTGAAGGCATAGCTAATGACGTTACGAAATATGAGAACAAGGATTGCAGCAATCACTGAGATGATGAAAGAGCATGTTGTGACAACTCTCACTGAAAACGATGCTGATTTTGGATGCCCTGCTCCCAATTCATTGCTCACTCTCACACTGTTAATTCATCAATGATTTTAACATTAAATGTAAGTCGATAGACGTACTATGCTTTTATATCGAAAATGCAGATGTACTACAAAGGAAAACTGACCTTGCTGCTGCATTGAATCCAACTGATATCATGAACACCCAACCACAAATCGTCATGCTTTTAATTTGTCGTTTTGTCATGCCAGAATAAAGGGGGAAAACAATAAGGTTAGCTAATTGAAAATAATCAACTGACTTTATCCAAAGCAGCAACAAAAACAAATGTAAAGATATTCAATGTGCTTAATTAAATGACCAAATAAGTTGAACA